TAATATTCAGCTTTTATTTTTCATACTAAAACAGAAGTTAAGGGTTCTGTTGCAGCTTCTCATGAGTCCAACAAATAGTGGGTTAAAAAAAGGGCAGCTTGAAGCTTGTATGCTGCCAATCTCCAGCTAATTATAAGGATTCTGTGCTAATAAGGGTGAAGTAATCAATTATTTTTGCATATAAACCCACATATTATATTCCACTTCTATCTACTAACAAACCCTGTAAGAGCAAAATGAAGCATCAAACAATAAAGCAAATCAAGGCAATGTTCACAAAATAAGCAACTTCCAACACTGTACTTAGGACCAATGAATGAGACCAAAAAAGTATCACATTCATTTTAACTATACACTGAAATTTTAAAGTCACCAAAAGCACTTATTTTCCTCAAAGAAAAAAACCCCATGTTTGAATCTGAGGAATAGACTCAGTCCAATGTCAGTTATATTCTTAACACTGACAGAAAAAGACATATAAACCAGAGTTTTAACACAAAAGTTCTGATTCTAGTAAAAATCCTTAGCTTCATACCCATTATTTCAGAGAACTACTTAATCTAGAAAGATTAATCACTCGAAACTAATATTACCATGGTCTGATCTCAAAGACAGACACCTATCCTGTCTATTCACTACTTCATTACCTAGCAAGCAACTCACTGATGGAAAATTAAACAAGCACTTGACAATCTGACAAACGAGGAACAAAACACTGAACGCAGCTAGTGTCACAAAAGAACCCTTAACAAAATTGTGGAGAGCACAGATTTCTATAGCTTCTGTGTACAAGCCTCGTGTGCTTAAAGCCAGATAATTCCATAAAACAATATCATATTTATGTAAAATTAAGAGTAAAGCTAATCACTGGCTACAGCTCTGACAATCAAACATTGCTATCTAATTTTAAATTGACAGCTTTGTGAGATGCAACAAAACAAGCTTCAGAATGCCCTGAAGAATTGTCTGTCTGGAGGGTCTAAATAATTGAAGAGCTAGTGTGAAAGCTGAAAAGATTCTTCCTTTTACTAAGTAACTACAGCAGGTTTTCTTTTTCCAATACCTTATGAAATTTATGAAATCTTCAAAACAGGATGCTCTCTCATCTCAAATAATTTTACAAACTCCTTTCCAAGCTATTGCAAAATGCATTTAGAGCTTGCAACACAGCTTACCACTGTGCTATGACACTGCTAATTCACCAGCCTTGACAGAAGAAACAGGGGGAGAGGCCTTTTATTATCTCTCAGCCTTTTTCCCAATATCAACTTGAAACAAGGTGTTGTTCAATTAAATGAAGAGGCCTTTTTAATATCTTCTAGCAGATATTAAAAGAATAAAAATCTTTAGTTTGAGTACTATGCTCAGAAAAAGAAAATTTGTATATACAAAGAAAATTTGTACATATACCCCATTATTACACCCAAAAGTAAAATCTTAGACCTGATATTTTTACGATAGATGGAGAGTAACGTTTCCTTATAAATCCCCCTAGGACGAATACCATGAGGGAAAAACCACAGACTTTATTGGAAACGCATGGCTTCGTTCAGTTTTCTTTGAAGCTCTGCTATTCTTTTTAATAGTAGCACAGTCTGTTCCTTATTTAAGACTCTACACTTAAATGGCACTCTACAATAAGTGCAAGTACTAAGGAAAACAAAACCAAAACCACTCAAACAACAAAAATCCCAAACCCAAGATAAAGGAATATATTCACATCCAGCATAAATCAGTTCATCTTCATTACAGCAGAATTATTGAGCAGAGAATTCAGGACACGTATTTTATTTTTACTTAACATTTGAAGAGATTAAAGAGCAAAAAAGAAAGATCAGATTTAATTTCTATCTTTTATACGCTTCTCTTTTTGCTTGCAGACAAAAGTTACAATTACTAAAGAGCAATTAGTCTCTTCCAATCTCCAAGTTTCTAATAATAACATTCAGTTTTCAACAAAGCCAAAAAAACACCCCAACTCTGTAAGAATGTAATAAATTAATTTCTGAAGTTTGGCAAGGTCTTTGTCATTTCAAGGAAAAACAAGTTCTTGGACCTGAAGGACTTGCTTATATACCTTTGGGTCAGCGGTCTCAGGTGTGTAAGAAGTATCAGGGAGCAGCAAGAGCTGATACAGGGAGCTAAGAACAATAACAGAGCTCCCATACCTCAGCAAGGCGAGCAAGATAGGCAGGTCCATCCAAGAATCCAGATCAACAAGCATGTCCACAGTGTAAGGTCAAGCCAAGAATATGAATTAGGATCATGTCCAATGACAGAACTCAGAACCAGGCACAAATCAGTAATTGCTAGGCATGTCCCTAGGGACAAGGCAGATCTAAAGTCAGGCCAGGAGGTGAGTCTGGGATCACATGCCCATAGCCAGGCACAGGCACGACCCTGACTCAACTGGAAACCCATACTCCTAGAGCATAGCCAAGCTAGGGACTAAACCCCTCCAGGATCAGCTGAAATGGGTCTCCTGGGCCCATGGGAGGGGGTGTGAGAAGGCTCCAGGTGAGGCTGGTTGGTGCTTTCAGTCTGTTAGTGCCCTCAGGTCCTGACAGAAAGAGATGTGTTTTCATCTTTCAAGCAGCAGCTGAAGCAGGTAAGTTTTCCCTAGGGGGAAAAGAGAAGCAGCAGAAGATTTCAAAAGAAATGTCTTACTTTACAAAGCCTTAGAGCTTACACACCACAATGGTTTCTTGTTGATGAACAATATAGGTAGCTAGTTTTTATGGCCTGTGGGTTATGCAAGAGAATACTTACTGTAAGAATCATAACCAAGGTCAAGCTGAGAGGGGTGTCAAAATGAAAAGCAGTGACTCTAGGATTTTAAAAGGGATTTGATCCTGAGCAATGCTAACCATTTCCTGGGAGGTCAGAAGACTTCCACTTCCATCACCACTTCCTTGTACCAACTTCTCAATCTTGGCCTTGTAATTTCCAAGAATCTCTGAATCATATAGAAACTGAGCTGGTGCATAAGACTTTCTACTAATATTTTTGTAAATGCCTTAATGCTTTAATTACTTTACACAGAGCTGCAGGAATCTTAAGTCTTAGTCTTAAGACATTAAAGAGACATTGACCTGGTTTCTTGTGGATGCGGATATGTATATGCATAAGGGCATCTAGGTGTTCTGGCCCATGAGTAGGGAGCAGCTGTTTCATCCTAATGGTTTCAGAATCTGCTGTGCCCTAACCAAAACTAACTCAAAGATTAACTCGACTGATGGAGAATTTTAACACAATATTTAGGCTTATGTTAAGCAAATCTGCATCATGTGTTTTAAAGAAGTTTATTATATAATCATATTTATGACACAACAAATACAGCACATTAAGGATTACTATTAAACATATAGATGGAGAAGTCCAATTTCTCGTTACCCTTTATTGCAAAACACATCTGTCCACTTCTTGTTACGAACCATTGTTAAAAGAAAAAAAAAAAAGAAAAAAGTTTTAGTTTGGTTTTCAAATAGAAAAAGTTGTACCTGGCTAATGGATGGCTATTTAAAATTGCAGCACTGATGTCTATAAACAGTGCACATATAAGTAACATCATGTTATTTGGTGAAAGTACTTACCTACCAATTCCTTTGCCTCCGAAAACAGAAGCTTGAGAATCTGAGAGACAGAAGCTTCCTTTTGACAGCCTGTTTCTTGTACAGGGGAAGCAGGACTCACCAGCCAACTTTTGAGGGCTTTCAGTTTTGCTGAAAATGCAGTTGTACAATCATTAAGGCAATTTCTGAAACTGAATTAATTGCCTGTGGGATTCACTTTATGAACTTTTTTTCCACATACTTTACAAAAAACTCCTGTATTTTTCATACATTATAATGTTTCTGAGTCATGCTTTCCCGCTCTTAAGGGTATCTTTGCTTATCTTATGACCCTCTGTTCCTCACAGCTATACTGCGCACATAGCTTTTATTATTATCTTTTTCCTTGCTTAGGAAGCTGTAATATATTGTTCTGGAAATTTGTGAGTAGGTAGTGCTCTGGGGTTTTATTTTCTTTTAACATTTCCCCCCCTTTTTTTGTCTCTTTACTGGTAGAGAAGGCTCGATTTCCTCCTTAATTCTTGCTTCAGATGTTGAAAGTCAAGAATTCCCTGCACTTCTGAAGTTCAGGATAGCTGGTGCTCAACTGTGATCTCACCAACACCAATCCAACCTATTTTTTTTTTTTTCTTGCTTTCACTGGCATTTAACAATAGTAAGACAGAGTAATGGGATGCCAAAAAGAGGCAAATACGTCTTTCTAAGACTGAACTGAGACCAGCATGTGTATGTTTACCTTTGTTCCCGAACAGTACTGGTTTAACGGACTTTGGGCTCATGGCTGGAGCCCAAAGCGCACACTGCTTCAAGGTCTGTGCCCTCAGATTACACAATCAAATGCGTGCTGTTACCTGCACTTACTTCAGGAGCAGACAGATGCCAGCAGGCCTGGCCTGAGCTTCCTGGAACTGTAAAGCAACCCCAGTACCCTCAGCACCCAGCCACGTGAACCAAGAGCCAGCAGGCTTCCAGGACCCCAGATCTGCTGTCCTCCTATGGCTATGGGGCCAAACCTTTTCAGATGCCACCGCTACCCTTTGATGCCACCTGAACCATGTCACGGCCATGGGCTCATGGTGGTGCCTGTCCTAGTGCACACTCACCTCAGGCCTCTCCCTCTGGTGCAGGCTGTGACTTAAACACCCACGGGTAGAGAAAAAATGGGAACAACAAGAGAGAAAGATACAAGGACCAGTGGCTTGTACTGCGAAGGGCACTCGGGGAGAGATGAGTGAACGCGGCCGCCATGAGGACCTCAGGTAACCAACTCACAGTGAGCCACACTCAACATGGCGGCAGCACCACCCCAACCCCGCCACACTCTTCTCGCTTCCGATTGGCGAGGAGCGCTGTCAGTCAGTGACGCCAGCCAATCAGCGCGCCCGAAGGCGGTGCTGCGGCCTGGTCCTGCAGGCGGGGGCTCCGTGGCTGCCGAGGTGCGGGATGAGCCACCTGGGCTGGGCCCTGTGGCCGCGGCCCCTCCTGCGGGGGCTGCGCCGCGTCTCGGTGGCGGCGGGTCTGTGCCGGTGCTCGCCAGGCACCAGCAGTGCCTCCGTCGCGGGTATGGAGGAGCTGCTGAGCCGTTCCGTGCCGCCGCTGCCGCCCTACGAGACCAAGGAGAAGGCGCCGCCCCCCGCGGAGCTGCGCAGCGCGGAGTTCGTGCGGTACTACCGCGGCCTGGAGGCCGGGCCACCCCGCGCAGAGCTGCTCACTCGCTTGGCCCGTGACTTCGGCGTGGATCATGGGCGGGTGGCGGAGTTCAGCGCCAAGGTGCTGCAGGCCCGTGAGCAGCAGAGGGAGCTGGGCGCCCTGCTGCAGGCCGAGGACCGGCTCCGCTACTACCTCAACCCCCAGTACCGGGGTCTCTTCCAGCACCTGGGCCGCCTCGAGGGTGGGCTGCGCTTCCTGGTGGAGCTGAGGGGCGACCTGGTGGAGGGGCTGGCGAGCAAGGCGGTGGATGGGCCGCATGTCAAGGTGAGGGCTGGGCTGAAGCCGGGTGGATCTGACATGGAGACCCGGAAGGGCTGGCTGGAGGGGATGTGATTTGGGGCTTCTTACTCATGGAGCTACTCCTGGACCATCCACGTTCGGCTGGGAGGTGTCCCAAGACCCTGATTCACTGTTGGGGTCTTCGTGGTGTGTCAGGAGGGAAGCCTTTTCCGTAGTCCATGGCACAAGTGGGAGATGGGTTTGTTGATAGCTCAGGAAGGGAGCACCCCATGATGTAAAGCAGTGGGATTTCCAAAGTCAGGTGGTGGTGGGAGGCTGGGCTGCCTTAGGGCGGTGGAGGAAGTGCCACAATGATGCAGCATGACATAATGCAGTTGATGGGGCTGCCAAGCAGTGTCAGGTGCTTACTGCAAGAGTGATGTGTAGTGGCACGACTCTAAAGTCTGGTAAGAGGGCTGCAAGTCACACAGTGCCCATGTAATGCTAATGATGAATAATACCAACGGGAGAAAAAAGTCGTCACAACTTAACTTAGTAGTATGTAGAAAATAGTTGAGGTGGAGCATTGGTTCAGTTTTGGTGTCCACTGCACAAATAATGTGGACAGGCTGGAGAGGATCCAGAGAAGAGCCACAGAGGACTGGGGGTCTGCCACACGTTCAAAGGCTGAGAGAGCTGGGCTCACTCAGCCTGGAGAGAAGAAGGCGCAGGAGAGTCTTTATCACCATGTTCCAGTATTTAAAGGATGGTTGTAATGTGTTAAGTTACAAGTTACTCCTGGTGAGATTCTGGTTGGACACTGAAGGAAATTTTTTCCCAATGAGAACAACCAGCCATTAGAATAATCTCTCCAGGGAGGTGACAGATTTCCCACCAGAGATTTGGTTGGACAAGATGCTGGGACAATTAGTCTATGTCATGCTTTATCAAGAAAGGTGGGACCAGATGATCCTTGAGGTTCCTTCCAACCTGGAATTCTATGATTTCGTGATCCCCAGTGATTACAAGATAGAGTGAAGTGACAAGGGGATGGAGGAAGGAATGATATTGGAGATGATAGTGGCAGGAGGTGGCAGGACTTACCAGAAGACATGAAGAAAGACAGGAAGTTGGTCAGATGCATTGACCAACTTGTTTGTTGAAATTCAGATCCAAATTAAGTTTGACAAGAAAGGATGTTTCTTAACATCCATGATCATCATATAACTGAAGGAGCAACAGTGCTGGTAAGATTCCACATCCAGCTGGATCATTTTAAGTACAACCAGACTGAAGTTGCAAAATTAGCAAGATAGAAATGTGTAAAACAGCTGAGTGTACATGCATCAAATAATACCGTATGTTCAGAAGCACACTAAAGCTGTTAGAAAGTAGAAAAATACTGTCTGTAGAACTAAAGCATCAATGAAAGTGCTGTTATAAGCATTCTGTTATATTGTTTTCTCAAAATCCTTTTTTAAATAACTGGTTTCATCATACAGTTAGGCTTAGCTATGCATATCTGTTCTTACAGTCATTTTAGCACTTGATCAATTTTATTTTTCAATAAATGATATATTCTAAGAATGAGAGTTAGTGATAAGTAGCGCGTAAGCCAGGAAAGATTAAGCTAGAACTAGTTTGTATTGGTTTTTATTTGTGACCCTATTAGCTCTAAGAATTTGATCTGGATACTGTTTCTTTTCAATTTGGAGTTTCATTTAGGTCATTCTCATTTGTTTTCCACAGCAGCCAAGAACTATGTGCTATTCCAGTGTTCTTTTCTAGCATGACTGGGAAAGGTCTAATGTCTTGCTTCCGAAAGAAGCATCTTGTTCAGCTTTAAGAATCTGTTTCCATTGCAAGTAAGCATCAGAATAACCATAAGCACACAAGGGAGTACCCATCTTGAAGGCTCTGCAGTGGAGCTGATTACTAGTTGGTGCAAATGATTTGCAAAGAAGTGCTGTGAGGGCATGTGCATTTGATACCTTAAGCTGTAGGTGTGAGATGTTACCTATTTACCTGAGGCTAAATATCAAGAACAGAGAAAACTATATGTAAGAATATTCAGGCTATAGATTTGAGGGTGGAGTGTGTGTGTGTGTGTGTGTGTGTATTAAGGAAGAAGGAATTTGAGTAGGGAACTATTCTCATGATACAAAATGTATTTTGGGGTCCCGTAGTGAGCAATTTCAGGATGGTTCTTTGCTGGTTTCCCTAACCCTACGAAAGAGATGAAAAAAGGTATAGAAAAGCTCTGGAATTTGGGATGGATGTTATTGCATCAGGATTTACTATTACATATGATGAATTCTTGTCTCCCTGAATTTCTTCAGGTACTATTTTAAAAAAGGAAGATGCAAGTTACCTCATCATTGTTGCTCTGTTGGTTTCACTGTCCCTGAATCATTAACAAAATAGATGTGATGTACTGCAAACTGGTTCAGTATTACCTTCAAGTATACACATCTTCAGTTGTCTCTCATAAATCACCTCTTAAGTTGAAGAAAACGTAGAAATACAGACTTTGATTTTATGTACTATGTGACCTGTGCCTAGCTGCAGTACACTCCGAAATGTCTCACTATTAGACTTGTGAAAGATTCTGAGCGCTGAAGTCACTGAATTGTTTTAGCAATGTGTCCTGGGTTCAGCAGTAGCAGTCATGTTTTTTCCTTTGTGTTAACTGGTGCAGTGCTGTGTTTTGACTTCTAGTTTGAGAACAGTGTTGGTGAAGCCGATGTTGTCGGTTGTTGCTAAGTGATGTTTACCCTGACCAAGGATTCTGTGAGGCTCATGCTCTGCCAGGGAGGAGGGGAAGCTGTGAGGAAGCAGAGATGGGGCGCCTGACCCGGGCTAGCCGGGGAGGTATTCCATACCACAGCACGTCATGCCCGGGGTGGGGGGTAACTGGGAGTTACCCCGGAAGGACAGGAGCTTCCGGGTGGAACTCGTTTTCTTGGCCGGTGGTATCGTATTCTCTTCCCTTGTTATTTTCCCTTATCACTGTTTTAGCTGATAGTAGCGGTGGTGATTTGTTGCTGGACTGTTCTTGTCTCAACCCGTAGGAGTTGCACTCTCTTGATCCTCCTCCCCGTTCCTCCGGGAGCGGGGAAGGGGAGAGCCCCGGTGCGGGGGGGGGGGAAGACGGACACGGACCTTGATTGTTGTCAGCTCGGCACCACTCACTGGGAGTGAGTGAACAAGTTACCTGACTGGGTTTAAACCACGACACAATGTCTGTGAAGTCTGAAGTCGTAGTGCTCTGACTGTCAGGACCCAGAGTAAGGCAAACTGGGTTAAAAAAGCTGACTTACAAGAAATTGAGAAGAATAGTGGCTACCTTACTAGAGGAATTCCGTAGATCTTCAACATAAACCGTGAAGATTGCCCTGGAAATACTTGTTATGATGGGTTTTGCAAAGAGAAGGAACATGCTGAGGATAAGGTTTAGTTTATATTTTGTTAGTTACTACAAGGCAGAATCATCACAAGAGCAAGACAGAAAAATTATAGGTGTTCTCAGGGACAAGTTGTTATGACACAATAAATGTCTTTCTGTCAATGTGTGAAAGATGGTGAATACTGTTGACACAAGATTCCTGATAATCAGATGGCAAAAAATTAGTGGTAAAGTGTACTTTTGAAGCTATTCAGCCTTTTTTCCCCCAAAGAATCCACCAAAAATCCCCACAGGACATAATCTGTCCAAGAGGTGGGTTTTCTTTTCTGTTAGATACATGAATCAATTATTAACTATCGTAAGCCTCATGGATAATGTTAAGATGACTTAAAATACAAAGTACTGGCACATTTGAAAGTTAAATTACAGTAAAACTGGGCCTAATTCTTCTTTCTTGATGCTGTTTGAGTTTTTTTCCTTTCTCTCTGATATTCTTCCCATGTGTTCTGTTCTTCCCTCCTTCCACCAAAGCACACACAGGTTTTCCACTGCCTTTATAAGTGAGCTGTTTTTTCTGATGAGCCCTTGCAATCTACAGAGGGAAATATGCTGAAAATCTGTTTCCTGAGTGTAGTTCTTCCTCTTACTGATCAGAACCCGCTCCCCTTCCCTTCTTCTTCTGTGCCAGCGTTTTCCTCTTGAGATTTTTTTATATTTTGCTAGCTTGCTCAGTTTCAGCATTTGAAATATGTGTTGAAAAAATCACATTATTATTTTAGGTAGCAAATAGTTCAACTATTGATTTTAAAATATACTTCATCTTTCCAAATATTGTAGAAAAAGTCAGAGGAAGGTTCAAGTTGCTGGCAAAAGATAATGAAAAAGATAGTACTTTTGTCATACTGATTTATAAATAAACCTTCCATAATTAAGCAGTGTTTGGTGTGTATCTGTGATCTTGGTCTTGTGTTGGTCTGATAGAAAAAAAAGAAACACCACAATTGTTTTGGGTACTTTTCCCTACATAGCAGCTGCTCCTAAACATAGCAGGGACACAAAGTTGAACTTTTCCTTGAATTATTTTCTTTTCTTAAAGCTTCCTCACAGATTTGCACACTGACCTGGGTATAATCAAGGAAGATATTTTCAAATTTTAATAGAGAAATTTGCAATGGTAGGACATGCTTTAAGGGAGAATATTTTGTGTGTAGGCTGTACATGGCTTTTGGGGGAGGGGAAATACTTGTTTTGCCTACATCCATCCACAGAAGTATTTATTTTGGATATTTGTACATCTTTGAAAGAACTGTGGTCTCATCAATGAGTATTCATCAGTGAATTAGAGCATTTGTTCTCTCAGGTGAAACAGTGTCTATGCGGAGAATCTGAATATTGACACAGTTTGCTTTAAAAATCTAAGAAGCCTTTAACTAGAGAAACAAAATGAAGTTAGATATTCTTCTATGGAAAAAGTTTGGTGTTTACCTGTCAAAAATCCTGCATAGCTGTTTCATTACTGTAAATTTGATTTAAATTCTAACATGTATAAAGACTAAAGCATAACCAGAATTCTGTAACGTCTGTGTGTTTGCATCCACACTGACAATGAAATATGGAAATAAAGTTAAATGGATCTTCT